CCTTAGAGTCTGCTATTCTTAACATTTTCAGTATCCATAGAAGTATTAAAAAGATGAAAATTCACTATGGCTACAAACACCCGAATATGAACAGTTTCTTTTTAACTCATGTGAAAGACATAACCACCTATGTTTTTTTCCCTTGGAAGGTAAATTCAGTTGAAGCACAAAGTCAGAAATTTAGACTCAGCAGTTTGGTCTATAACCTCTTAGCCATAAAAAGTGTTAGCTTCTCATTCCAGAAATTCTATCCTGTATTCTGTTTTGCCACCCTTAAGACCTGCTTTGGGTACACAAAGCCAACTTTCATCTTCTCATATGCCAGTTGATTACTGGTGAAATTATATACATTTAACTTCTAAGTTCAGGTAAGCTTGTGTCATGGGGGTTTGTTATATAGATTTCATTTCCCAGGTATTAAGTCTAGTACCCATTGTTCTTCCCAATCCTCTCCCTCCTCTCATCCTCTGCTTTCCGATGGGAGAAATATAAAAATAACCAGTATTTTTCCCAATAAGGATGAAGCTACAGCTGCCCAGCTTTGCTACTTGCCTCTCCTCCTCAATGAGGTAGGGAATTGTTTTTGCTCACCCACAAAAATATTTTTACAGCAAAAACTTGCATGCGTTGTAAGACTGAGTAATTCAACTTAATCTTGCATGAAAAACCAACATGAATACAAGGGAATAGTGGATATGAAAAATTGAAGCACCAAATTCAACAGCCTACAAACATATAAAGGCATTAACATTAGCTGCATACATGCAGATGTGCCCTGCGCTGGCTAGGAATCAGAATCTTCATTTTCTTCAGTTAAGTGGCTATAAGATCTTATTCTTAATTAAAATATGAGCAGTGCCATTATAACTCTGCTGTGGGGTAATGAGCAAAATCCACCTATAGGTTTTATGTAGCAAGAAACAGAAATAGATACTAGAGTACAATTCTAACTCCTCTGTCGAAATTCAAAATTCAGGTCATGTTTTGCCAGAAGTCATATTCCTAAGTTTTATGATCCAGTGCAATTATTTTCAAAGGGTAAAAACTATTTGACCAGCAGCACTTGGACCAGCAGCGCCTGGTGGTGTCACCTGAGAGCTTGTTAGAAACGCCTGGCAGAAATTCAGATTCTTGGGACTCACTCAGACCTACTGAATCAAACACTGGGGATGGGGCCCAGCAAACTATTTTCACAAGGTTTCCAGATTTAATGCATACTGAAGGACTGACTTAGGACTACAGAGGGCTCAATAGGTTAAAACGAACAGTGCCTACAACAGAAGTTGGAGGCGTGCTCCAGACCTCATCACATTCCCCAATCTAACTCGGTGGACAATCCAGATGCAAGAGAGGTTACAAAAACTGAAAGGTTTTGATAGTTCAAAAATGATTCAGACTTTGCCAAATGTTTCCCTTTAAATTTCCTTCGTGCCTTGAGTTTCCACGCCCTTTTGACCACCACCAGTTTCCAAAATGATACTTTCACCTTTGTGAATTTCAAGCAAAGCAGTGATTTATGAATTTAATGCAAGTAATAACTATGCATTTTTACAATGGTCTATGTCTTAAGCCTTCTTAAAGACTTCTATATAGTTGTGTTTAATCTTCACAACTCTCCTATGAGGTTTAATCTACTCGGAGATTTGTTAGTTTAGGACCTCTAATAAATTGCTAATTACTGTTTTTGGAGGACAGACTGTATGAGGCACTTTTACAGAAAATTTATAACAACTCTGCAAGTTGTCCCATGACAGCAAGTACTCAAGAAAGTAGAAAAGGTATTGAAACAGACCATAAAATTACATTAAAATGAAATATTAACTTTCACAAATTCATGTTAAATCATGTATAGATTTTCTAAGGTGCTATTTATCACAAAAAGTAATGTCGTAATAGAGAAGCCATCACCTCCCAGTAAGGAGGGTAGAGGGAAGAGAACACCACATGACTTCAAATAACCCTGCTCTAAAGAGTCTTTTTGCTTCTACATTTCCCTATTACCTGAACAAAGCACCTTTTTACTGAAAAAAAAAAAAAAAAAAAAAAAAAAAAAAAAATCTAAGTTTACATTCAAAATTTGGATAATTCAACAGGACTTAAGCTCTAAACATAACTATATTACAAACCAAGAGAAGTTATAAAATTCCTTTTGTAGATTTCTCTTAGTCCAGCTGTGTTTGTTCCAGAGTAGTTTGTGGGACTCAAATCAACCACACTGGCCTCTACAATGGCTTCATGGCATAGGTTATTAAGGTCACGTTTTACTGAATCTGCAGTATAGCTTAGGTTTAAAAGGAGCCATAATTTTTGTGATCACTCATGGGACAGATCGTCTTCCATACATCATTCACTGTTAATAAATGGACTCCCTGCCAAGACCAGGCACTGGTCCATACAGTCCACGGTATCTCAGACTCACCAAGTTGTGAGCTTCTATACATCATTAGTTCATCACAGGTGTTCATCAGAAGACCTATGCAAGTACCAATTCTTGAAAGCGGCTTTCACATTTTGATCTACTGGCTATGAAACAGTTCCCCTTAGATTCAGTTAAAATCACCTAAATTTACAGGCCTGGCCTGTGGCATTATCTGGAACACAGAACCTTTGAACAAAAGGGCAAAAAGTACAAATGAGCCATTCTTCATTCAGGCCTGCTCATTGCTGCTTTGGCTTTCCTGTTAGGTTACAACACTGCTCTCAGGTTAGCTCAGGAGCAGGGTGGGGGAGCCCTGGGATTCTCAGAATAGATTAGTAAATATCTTAATTTTATTGAAGTCACCCTCAGCATGGCCTCAAGTAGTATTTGGCTGCTTTAACCTGAGACACTATCTTTCACAGAAATAAGTCTTTTCAGGTAATCATTCCTAATCAAGCTCTGAATTTTCAACCTGAAAAGTTTGTTTCAATGAGGGAAGGCTGTTCCCTCAGGAGATGTGCAAGACTCGTATGTGCCAAACTGCCATCTTTTCTGTTCATCTTTATGCTATGCAACTATCCTTCTTAGAATTGTATAAAGCATCATCTACTTGACAATTTCCATTGCAAAATCATTACTTCACACCCCAAGTTCAATTGCTGTGGCTTCTGAAAGATTAGTGTTCAAAGTCAAATTTAACCGCCTCTTAATCTATGCTCATACTCAATGGGTTTCCATCAAAACATTTGTGATAAATTTACTAGCACTTAAAAGGTAGATGTGCCTGACAATCATTAAACAATTTTTTTTATTTTGTAAAACAGAACACAAAGGGAGTAACTCCAAGTACTTTTGCTATTTAGCCAAGTCTTAATCTTCATCAAATTGTCTTAACACTTCAGATTTTACATTTAACTGATGAAGTTTCCTTTTGCACCTTTTCCATTTTTCATGGTTTGGCTTCCTTCTATAGATCTAGGGAAAAGGTTTGCAGATGTTAATACGCACTCCAACAAGCATGTTTCTGGAACTTTAAAAGAAAGGCTTACAATTTTTGTTTTGTAACTTTTTCTCCTGCTTGGTTCTGCCTCTTGGTTTGTTGCCAATCAACTAAAGGCATAATCCATTTTTTTTTTTTTTTTAAAGACAAGAAGTTAGAAAGCAAAATTATACCCGAGAGAAGGTGAAATAAGGAGAGTAGGGGCTGGGTGCAGTCGCTCACGCCTGTAATCCCACCACTTTGGGAGGTTGAGGAGGGTGGATCACCTGAGGTTAGGAGTTTGAGACCAGACTGGCCGACATGGCAAAACCTGTCTCTACTAAAAATTAGCCATGTGTGGTGGCACACACCTGTAATCCAAGTGACTAGGTAGGCTGAGGCAGGAGAATTGCTTAAACCTGGGAGGTAGAGGTTGCAGTAAGCCAAAATCATGTCACTGTGCTGCAACCTGGGTGACAGAGCACAACTCCATCTGAATTAAAAAACAAAAAAAAAAGGCAAGGAGTAGAGAGGGTACACTTTCAGTGATAAGCTACCTGGAGAAGTGAAATTCTGGGAACAAAGCTGAACAAGATGGGCCTCTGACTGTTTCAAGTGTTCTCAGTCATGGAAAATGACTCTTGAAATACTTGCTTACTGCCCTTTCCCCCTGCATCTGAATCAACTGAGAACTGTCAAGTTTAAAAAAGTTATACAAGCATGTTTTTCTCCCATTCCACTGCAATGCATCTGTAAATTTTAAATTCAAATGGCTTATTCATACTTTTCAAAAGAAACAGTCTGCTGCCAAACCTGGCATCAGATGGGGGTGGGAGTGGTATCTGCAAACCACAGAAAATAGAAAATTCTCATTGTCTGGAATGTGGAACTGGTAAATTTTTCATCTTCATAGCATGACAGTAAGAGCATGCCATATGTAAGAACAATCACTAATTATGTTTGCATAAGTATGTCACCATTACAGAGTAGAAAATGCACAAAAATCCAGGCTAAGAAAAAATAACTTCCTTATTGCATATTAATGTTTTCTTGTTTTTCTTTATTACATACATGTAATTTTCCAAATATAGTCACCTATTATTCAAACCTAGGCAGATGGAAGGTGGTCTGGGAGTGTCATTTCATCTTCTTTCCCACAATGGTTGGCAAACATGAACAAACATTCTTACAAGTTGGTTTGCTGATGTGGAAATTTCCTTAGAGACCTGGGGCTTCCTTTTAAAACAAAGATGACAACTGTTTCATTAAGAAATCCACATGCAGCCTGCTACCCGCTTAAGGGGAAACGTTTCCTTTAAGTCTAAATCAAGTGAGTAAATTTAACATACCTGTGAGGGTTAGGTGCAGTGAATTTCTGGCAGAAGTCCAGAACTAAAAGAGGTAATGCACTATTTTTATTTCTTTATGAGAAAAAATCTGCTGCCAAACCCAGCTAAGGCATCAGAAGGGGTGGAGAGCAATCTGCAGCCCATTGATAAGCAACAGATGATCTTAACAGAATTTTTCTCAGGTGAGCATTCCCTTTAAGCAGAGTAAAGGGCCTAAAGGAGTTGTGGTTGGCTCTTCCTTTGCTGTCTTTACCTGAATACAGGTCAGGCCCAGGTCCCGGGGAGTGTCCCACAGTCCCCTCAGCAGCAGCATCTCTAGGGGAAGTGGCTGGCTGTAGGGGCTGCACAGTTAGGCAATCCGTGAGCAGGTCTGGATGGAGCTCTGTGCTGGACCGCAACTGAGAGAAGAAAATGGAAGAGACATCGATAAGGAAAGCTGGTCCTTGGATTATTTTCCTGGAAAGTCATCATGCTCTATCAGTACAACTCAACCCACAAAAAATTTATCAAGCAGCAACTGTGGGTGAGGCACAGAGCTTAACCGAGTGTCAATAAAAGGGTCAGTTCTCCAATCCTAACACCTGGCAAGCGCTTCCGGAAAAATGTGGCTAGAGGCGGATTTGACTTCAGTCCTTGATATTTCCACTTCTGGGAACTCAACTTCCTATTATACTTCCTTTTATTTGCTCTGTATCTTATCAGAACTTGTAGTGATAACAAGAACAAACTCAAGTAGATTTAATTCGTCTTGGAAAGTGCTTTTAAAATAGAAACACTGTCATGAAAATATCCCAGAAATGATTAAGAAATGCCCATTGAGATTTAGCTCCTATAGATTTTCCATGAAAGGAAAATACTCGTTAAATTTTCAAATATTATGGAACATGATTCAAAGATAAAAATGTCATTAAGAGCAACAAAACAGTAAGTAACAAAAACAGAACAATTTAGATCCTATACATGGATGAGTTACATGTCAAAAAAAATAAAGCCAAATAAATACTAGAATAAACTTAGGTGAAAAGTTATCTGATCTCTTAAAAATTGTGTAAGTGTAATTGAAATAAAACAATGGAAGAGGTTGTGTCAAAAATATTAACGTTCTGCTTCTGCAAAAAATACCTTGAAAGCAATCTAGAAATATAAATATTGCAAATGGTAATCATCTTTGGTATTTAAAACACATGTGTATAAATTGATTTTATACAGACTAAACCTTTAGAGTATGCTTATGCATTCAGCAATTGAGTTACGTACTTCTCTAGACCCTAGCAATACTGACTGCTTTTATGAAAGTTAGACTTTAGGTGGGGAAGCAGATGAACAAATAAAGGACATATAACCTCAGATGGTGATAAATACTGTGGAGAAAAGCAATGCAGAGAAGCCAGACAATGAGTAGGAGTAAGGGATGGCAACCTCAGACAGGCGATCAAGGAAAGGCTCTTGGAGATGGCATTCGTAAAAAACTTTGAAAGAAGTGAGGAATAAGCCCTGCAGACTTACAAGAGAACCTGCCTACCCTGAAGTGTGCCTGGATATTGTGTGGAGAAGGGTCAAGCAGGTGAGCCGGGGACCTGGGGAAGAGAAATAGATAAAACTAGAGATGAAAGGTGGGGACGTGGAAATGGGAAGGAAACATTGTATAAAGCCTTGACATGAACAGAAACTGTTCAAGAGAAAAAGAAGAAACCGAAATAAATATAAAAAATGTTCAGCACACTTGCAAAGAGCGATGTTAAAACATTTTTACTTATCAAAAACTTAAAAACGGTAGCAGTGAAGGTAGTGGGAGACATTGTTAAACACTGTTTATAGGAGTGAATACAGGTATAAACAGTCTAGAGAGTATATGAGAATATATTTTTTCAAGGTCCATAATCAATGATTCTAGAACTTGTCTTAAATAGACCTGTCAAAGATTTGTACCTCCCCTAAATATATGCAAATATATAAAAATAGCATTTATAACATTTTCTGATTTGGTATTGCAACTTAATGTCTTAAACGTCCACAAGTAGGGCTAATTAATGCTTTTACATCAATTTGATAGAGTATTATGCACTTAAAATGATATTCATGAACATAAAAGCAAAACAAATATGAGAATTATATAAAAATACATAGCTAAAATATCAGAAAGTAATGTGATTGAACGTTAAAACTGATTTTTGCTTTCAGTAGCACTATTATGAACGTGTTTTCCCTTTTTAAAAACCTTTTCTTTTGCTTTCCAAGTTTTCTATATTCCAATAATGTTCCAAAGCTGGCTTGCACCAATCTGAGGTGCTAATTGTGTGCATCTTTTCCAAACTTTCCATGCAATGATGACAGACTGATAGCTCAAAATCGGTCATAGAGAAGTATTTACACCAATGGAAATTGGCAATTCTACAAACAGGTTTTTCCATCTAAAGAGCTGGTTGTTAAACAGTACCAGCACACCACTGGCAAGGACAATGACCAAATTCTGATCAGAAAGAAACACATACATACACCAATAAGTTACTATTTAGAGAAGTATTTCTTGGATCTCAGAAAGCTTCATAAAGAGACAAATACATGTCCTGGTTTTATTTAGCCCAAGAATATGAACATGGCACAGTGACCCTAAATACAGGGAAGGGGCATTTAACACAGGTAGGGACTGAGACGTGACTTCTAATTTCCTCAGCTGTGGCACATTGGGATCTCTGGCCAAGACTGTTAGTGCCCAACTCTTTCAGGACTTTTTGGAAGATATGTTCGTTATTTCGATACTAACCTAACACATGCTGTGTAAGAAACACTGGGGAAAAACAAAAAACAAAAACAAAAAAAAAAATCAAGGCTTGGAATGAGTTCTGGTGATCACATTTTAATGATGGAACATAAATTAAAAGTGATCTGGGGTCCACATGTTTTACTAAGGGCAGACAAGGATGCCTCTCTGCTTTCTATTACCAACTACTCTAGGGTTTTACAGTTATCAGTACTAATAGGTCTTCGCAAGGAATTTCACGGCTAGGGTTACTCCTGGCATCAAAAGCTGGTAGTTCTTTCGTCGTTTCACTAAACATTCATGTTTTCCAACAGTGTGATTCCATACAACTTTATGGTCAGAGTTAATTTGGTTTTCTTTGGGATTAGGCATGGTTCTACAAAGTGCTTAAATTGAACATGCCTAGGGACTTGATGTAAAATTTCCAAAAGAAAGCCAAATGCATAGAAATGCAGTCATCACATGGAAGTATAGTATCCTGCCCAGATCTTCAGACCAGAAAAGGGACTTTCAGACCCCTTAAGGTTTTTAAACATTCTCTAGTACAGGAATTATCTAAAGGGTGAGGCAGGAGGCACATAGCAGAATCTCTTGGGAGGCTGGTCTCTCAATAGTTTTATATTTGAAATAAGCCCAACTATTGATAAAAAAAAAAATTGTATAATGAATGTTTTACCAACATCTTCTTAGCTATTAGGAATAAAGACAGAGGGAAATTTTTCAATTGCAGGAGGGAGGGTCTTTATCCGTGGTTCCCAATCTTGGGCATGCATCAGAATCACCTGCGGCACCCCACCCCAAAGCTGCCAATTCAGTAAGTCTGCCAAGTGTTGGTAAGTTCCCAGGTGAGGATGCTTCTATTGGTCTTGGGATTACACTTTTCGAACTACCAGTCTCTATAAAAATTTTGAGGAGAACCTAAGATTTTTCTGGTGGTGGAAAGAGGAAATGAACGGTGGAAACGAGGAAATATAAAAACCTAGTGTTTTTTACTGTGAGAACAGAAACCTTATTTTCCTTAATTAGCTGTGACTAATAAAGATCTTTCTGAAGCAGTGACTTTGGAACTCCAGTTCACAGGTACTAGGTGAGGTACTACATGAGGAGAGAATATGTCCAAGTGCTAGGAATGTCTGCAAGTCATTGGACTTGGAGATACTGGGAAAGCAAATTCCAGCTCATGCAGGGATGAACACGTCATGTTTTGTAGCTTGTTGTCATATCTTGACAATTTTCTAAGAAGCCTCCTTGGGACATCTGGACCTTTAAAGTGTAATGTTATCTCCAGTGAGAAGCAACCATTAAGCACAGGACCATACACGCAAAATAATTCTTAGCTTTCCTGTAACACACATCTGACTTTCTTCAGACCTCATTATAAAAAGTGGTTAAATGAGGCTGTCTTAAGAAGAGTTTGGATTGTATTTTCACAGGAATAAAATGTTAAATTTCAATCTAGTTTATTACGTGCTTTTAGCAAAGAGCAAAGGACTTGCCCTTAAAGTCTTGACTGCTTTTTGCAGAAAAAGTGGAATTTGAAGTCATTGAGTCAATTCACTTCTTTCAAAGGACAGCTGTGTTACTGGACACCAAGGACCTTTGTTCACATTGTAGTTATGTGAACCCCATTCCTGAAATCATTCAGCTCTTCTGCCCTAATCACACTCCATTGGTTCCAGAGAGGTTCTGCCCCACTTTGTCCTTCTCATTATGAAATATTTCTTGGGCCTCAACCCCATGCCTGGCACTATTCTAGGGGCCAGAAATACAACAGCAATCAAAAGACTTCAGAGAAGTTTCCATTTGAGAGAAAGCAGATAATAAACAGTAAACTAAATTATGAAGAAAGTGACAAGTACTACAGAAAAAAACAGAAGCATAGATGAGATTGCAAGTGATGGGGAAAACTGGGAACTTCTTGAGAGATTTTTGAGGAAACCCTTGAAAAAATTGGAGTACCGAGACCAGCTCGATTGTAGAAATACCCACCCAAGCATAGTTCTAGAAATATGCTTCTTAAACGTGCCTAGAGACCTTATGTAAAACTTCCGAGAGAGCCGTACACATAGAACTATGCTCATGAAACGAAAATCTAGTGCTGAAAGTATTAAGAACAGCAAACTGAGAGAGAAAAAGAAAGCATCCAAGGCCATGCTTCACACACAGCCTTCTGCGCTATGTGTCTTGAGTAGACGCTGATCCATGTATTTATCTTCTCTGAACAGGTGATTATTATCAACAGGCAGGTGTTCTGTGTTTTCTCATAGAACCAAGATAAACTAGGCAGGCAGCTGGTGCTTGCTTACCACTGATCAAAGGCAAACCAGAAAGCGTTCTCCACGAGGGAGCCACAGGGGCAGGGTAACTGGTGTATGATATACATATACTCTTTAGTACTTTAGAACACCCCCAAGCAGTTTTCCACTTCTGGGGTCAGAAATAACTAGCTGGTATCCAGTTATTCAATCACTCATCTAGGTATGTGACTGCTGTGTTCTGAAGGAATTCTGTTGATAGGCTTCACATCTACAGTCAGTTGACTTTAAAAACAGATTATCTCCTACAGTCTGGGTGGGCCTCATCCAATCAGTGAAATACCTGAAGAGCAAAAAAGCTGAAATTTCATTAAAAAAGAAG